CGTGTCCCCGCAGTGCGCGTAGACGCCGACCAGGGCCACCTCGCGCGGCGCCTCCTGTGCGATGGCCCGAGCCAGCGCCAGGGCGCCCGGGTCCGTGGGGCACACGCCGACTGCGTGGGGAAGGAAGGGGCCCCGTGTGGGACACCGGGACCCTGTGGAGTGTCCTTGTGGCAAGGGGGGACATATGGCATGTGGCGGTTGCAAATGCCCCATATTGGATGAGATCTTGGGACTGGAGGCCGTGGAGCATCTATGGAGCATCCTCACATCAGAGGGGTGAAATATGGGGTTTGGGGGTCTCAAATGCCTCATATTGGATGAGATGTTGGGGCTGGAGGCAATGGAGTGTCTACTCGGTAGAGCATTCTCACATTAGAGGGGTGAAATATGGGGCTTGGGGGGTCTCAAATGCCCCATATTGGATGAGATGTTGGGGCTGGAGGCCATGGAGCATCTATGTAGCATCCTCACATCAGAGGGGTGAAATACGGGGTTTGGGAGTCTCAAATGCCTCATATTGGATGAGATGTTGGGGCTGGAGGTAATGGAGTGTCTACTCTATGGAGCATTCTCACATCAGAGGGGTGAAATATGGGGCTTGGGGGTCTCAAATGCCCCATATTGGATGAGATGTTGGGGCTGGAGGCCATGGAGCATCTACTCTATGGAGCATCTTTGCATTGGAGGGGTTAAATATGGGGTTTGGAGGGCTGGAATAACCCATAGAAGCAGAGATGCTGTGAGGGCTTCAGGGATGTGGGCACATGGGGGTTCTTCCCCTTATGGCGCATCCTGGAAGGGAGGTTGGATGAAAAATGGGGTTCGAGGTCTTGATTGCCCCACATTGGCTGAGATGTCGGGATTGGAAGCCACAGGATACCTTCCCTATGGAGTAGCCTTGCATCAGAGAGGTGAAATATAGGGTTTGGGGGTCTCAAATGCCCCGTGATTATTGAGATATTGGGGTAGGAGACCATGGAACAGCTTCTCTATGGAGCATCCTTTCTTTGGAGGGATGAAGTGTGGGGTTTGGGGGACACAAATGCCCATGTTGGCTGAGGTGCTGGGGTTGCAGGCCATGGAGCAGCTACTCTATGGAACATCTCTGCAGCAAGGGGGAGAAATTCGGGGCTCAGGGGGTCTCAATTGCCCCACGTTGGCTGAGGTGTTGGGGTTGGAGACCATGGGACACCTTCCCTATGGAGCATCCTCACATCAGAAGAGTAAAAATGAGTCTGGGGGTCTTGAATGTCCCGTGTTGCTTGAGATGTTGGGGTTGGAAGCCCTGGGGCACCTTCCCTATGGAGTGTTTTTGCTTTGGAGGAGTGAAATATGGGGTTTAGGAGGCTAGAACAACCCATGTAAGTGGAGATGCAGGGGCCATGGACTTTAGGGAGGTGGGGCTTGTGGGGCATCTCTCCCTTATGGAGCATCCTGGCAGGGAGAGAACGTTAGAATATGGGGTTTGGTGTCCTGAAAGCCTCATATCGGTTGAGATGTTGGGGTTGGAGTCCATGGGGCACCTACGCCACAGAGCATCCTTACGTTGGAGGGGCGAAATATGAGGCTTTGGTGTCTCGAATGCCCCACATTGGTCAAGATGTTGGGGTTGGAGGCCATGGGGCACCTACTCCACGGAGCATCCTTACATTGGAGGGGTGAAATATGGGACTTTTGTGTCTTGAATGCTCCATGTTGGCCGAGATGTTGGGGTTGGAGTCCATGGGGCACCTACTCCATGGAGCATCCTTACATTGGAGGGGCGAAATATGAGGCTTTGGTGTCTCGAATGCTCCACATTGGCCAAGATGTTGGGGTTGGAGGCCATGGGGCAGCTACTCCATGGAACATCCTTACATTGGAGGGGTGAAATATGAGACTTTTGTGTCTCGAATGCCCCATGTTGGCCGAGATGTTGAGGTTGGAGGCCACAGGGCATCTACTCCATGGAGCATCCTTACATTGGAGGGATGAAATATGAGACTTTGGTGTCTCGAATGCTCCACATTGGCCAAGATGTTGGGGGTGGAAGCCATAGGGCACCTACTCCACAGAGCATCCTCACATCATCAGGATGAAATAGGGCGCTTGGGGGTGCCCTCCCGCCCCCCGCGATGCCCAACGCGCCCTCCTACCTCTCCCGTTGCCGCAGTCGAGCTTGAGCCAGACGAGCCAGCGCTTGCCGGCGCGGAGCGGGCGCCCGCGCAGCAGGGCCAGCCCCGCGGCGCTGTCGAGCAGCACCTGGAAGGCGTCGAGGCGCTCGGCCAGCGCGGCGCACTCGGC